GGATGAGGCGAGTGAGACCCTGGCCTTGGGTGCGAAGGCTGAGGAGGGGTGGACACGGGGGCACATCAGTCATCAAGAGAAACCATAAATTAATGCCGAGTTTTCAGAAAGTAAAGTTAATGTAGAAACACCCAGCAAAACAAAACAACTTTTTAAATAAAGACAGGCCCCGACCCTGAACCTCCATGCTCATCTCATTTGCCTCCCTCTGCTCCAGGCCCTGTTGGTTCTTGTTTTTACTTAGTGTTGATATTTGTTCATTACTCGTGAATCTCAGTCTTCTCTTCCTTTGCTCACCCTTTCCCAATCCCCCCCCTCCCCCATAAAGGGGAAATGACCTTGGGAGAAGCCACCAGGCGTTGGCGGGGGCATTATTGTTTAACACCAGGGAATGAAGCCAAAATCAGTAGTGGTGAGTTGCTTTAAACTGATGTCACACTCTGGACCCAAGGGGAGATTCTGCTGTAATGATGTCAGCAAACAATCACTGTGCGTGCAGCGCCTGCCTGGATGGCTGTGAGTGATTATCTGCTTGGCTAATTAATCATTCCAACTGTTGTTCGTGCCGCCCTCCTGCTCCGCTGACATCTCCGCTGACATCTCTGGGTGTCCTGCCTCCAAGCCTCCTTGGCTCATGCTTTCCTAGCCCCAGGGCCTCTCCCTGTCCCTCTAAGTTCAATCCTTCAAGGGCTGAAGGCCCACCACCTCCAAGAAGTCTCCGAAGACCACCAGCCTTTCCTGGAGGCCGTTGTTTATTTTTTTAATTTAATTTTTTTATCTTTATTGATTTCAGAGAGAGGAAGGGAGAGGGAGAGAGAGAGATAGAAACATCAATGATGAGAGAGTCATTGATCGGCTGCCTCCTGCATGCCCCTGACTGGGGATTGAGCCGGCAACCCGGGCATGTGCCCAGACTGGCTCGGATCAGCTAAAATGTGGTTCTCAGCTGAGGGTCGGGGGTGACTTTGTTCCCAAAGAGCATTTGGTAGTGTCTGGAGACTTGGAAGCCATCGCTGGGGGGAGTGGTTGCTCCTGGCATCCAGTGGTGGAGACCAAGGGTGCTGCTGAACATCCCTCAGTGCCCAGGACCGCCCCCCCAGCACAAAACTACCTGACCCAAACGTGCATGGTGCCAAGGAACCCTGAATCCAAACTCATTAAGGTATCGCTAAGGGTTTGTGAGAACTGTCCCAGGAATCGGATTTGCATTTCACCACCAGGCTTGCTGTGATTTTGCCCCAGGGGTGACAGACGTTTGGATGGGCAGAACAATAGGACCAGGGGTTTGTTTTCCCACCTGAGTTCTGAACTAAATGGGGCAGGCAGAGGCCAGCAGATGGGGACCACGATGTCATCTGAGAAGGGCCAGGTTGGATGATGTCACTTGGGCTCAGGGGTGACCTCGGAGTCTCTGCCGATCTCTGGGCCTCAGTTTCCTCATCTGTAGAATTCAGGGGTTAAGCTTGAGAATGTTTTCTTTTTTAAACTTTTTATTGGATTCACAGAGAGATCCCTTGTGCTCTTTACTCAGTTTCCCCCAGTGGTAACGTCTGGCATAAGTAGGGACAATATCACAACCGAGAGACCGACACTGCTATGTTTCAGATTTTACTCAGATGGCCCTAGTTCCACACGCGCTCATTTGGATCACATTTCGAGCCGCTTCCAGCGCGTAGGAGAAGACACCCCACCTGCTCCTCATCAAGCCCGTGACTCATCTCCGGTGAACGAGAAACAGCCTGTGTCCGTGTCCATTGCAACACCCCGGAGTCTCCCCCGGGGACTTGGGAGGCTTAGTGCTCCTCACGCCCGTAACGGACAGGGTGGTGGGTGGCGGGGGGCAGCTGTGAGCTTGCGTGGTGGGCTGGAGGCAGGGAGTGGGTTGCAGAGGAAGCTTCACATCTCAGAGAGAAAGTGGGAGCCCACGTGGGCGCTGGCGCCAGGCTGCTGGACGGCTGCTCACTCTCCCCTCTGTGCCAGGTGTCAGCGCCACCAGGTGGGCCTGGGCCTGGACGCAGGTGTGACCTACTCCAGGTGAGCAGGTCTACCAGGCCCATGGGGACTCGAGATACTAATTTTTCCCACAGCACCGAGCCTTTCAACCAAAGCAGGAGCCCCTCCCTCTGCAAATGAACACTGACCTTCCCAAGAGAAGGGCAACAGAACCCTCGCTGTGGGGTTTGCCGTTTCTGCCCTGCTGCCGAGCTGGGCTGTGCTCTGGTGCGTGTCCCGTAAATCAGATGTCTGGCTCATCAGAGACCCAGGTGACAGTCTGCTGGTGAACCGCAAGCCTCTGAGCAAGGTTCTGATTTCTCTTCTAGAATTCGGGTTGCTTGGCAACCTCGGGAAAGGATTTTTGTAAGCCACAAGTTTAATGCAGGGGCTGAGTTAGAAGGAAAGGAGGTGTATTCGGGTCAGTTCCCTTCCAACTCGCTCTACCTGCCTCATCTTCCGGCCTGTTCTTGCCACTTTGCCACAAGGCCACTGCTCACTGGATTTCTTCCCCGGGGACTTGGAAATTGCCTTGGTGCTGGAGGCAAGCAAGCTGGGTGACTCCAGTCACCGCCCCTGGGGAGGGGGCATGGCCAGTGAAGGGGGTTCCTGTCCTGTCGGCAGGGGCATAGCTACTCAACGCCCAATGATTGGTGCCCTGGGGGAGCCCCAGGAGGTCAATGGCAAGAGGACCAGGGTGCTGTGTTCTCAGTGCCTGCAACAGTGCCTGGCCCAAAGTAGATGCTCAATGTCAGCTGAATGAATGACCAAATGAATGAATGCAGACTCAGCATTGCTAGAGCTTCCAACTATTCAAGGGAAGCCTAAAATCTAGATTCTTAGGTGGAATTTAAATATTGGTGCCCAACTCAAAAACATTTTTTCCAATACCATGAGGTCCAAGTTAAATGTGCACAGGCCAAAGCCTGCCTCTTGACCTACATCCAGGCCACCTGAACCATCTCTGCTCTCCAGGGAGCCTATGGGGTGGGAACACGCACCCAAAGGTGGTCACCAGGTGGCCCAGCCCCTGCCAGCCTCTCAGACCCCATCAGCAGGCTCCAGGAACACTGAATCTGGGTCTTTGCTGCTGTCCCTTGAGGACCAGCCCCTCCCACTCAGCAGTAGAGGCTGCTTGTTCCCCTCCCCCACCATTCCTTGGAGCCTGACCTTGGCACCCTACCCATGGCTTTCTCCTCCCCAGGTCCCTCCAGCACCCTGCTTGCCTGCAGGGCGCCAGTGGACATCCCATTCCCTGCTTTTCCATTCCTTAACCATCTCTCCTCCAACGACCTCCTTCCCTCTGTCCCATCCACCCAACGCCATAGCCACACTTGGTCCTTGGCTCCGCCTTGGAGTGTTCCACCAAGACATTCTTACAGCCTCCTATTTTTCTTGCTCCATCACCTATGTGCTCCCACTATGCCTGTTTTTTAATCATATTAACGTCACTCTGCTTCCCTCACCTCCTAATGTTCATTTCCTCCCCTAATGCAGCCATTCCCCATAGTCTCACTGATACCCCCAAGAGCCTTGAGCTATGGCCATCCATCTGGCAAAGCCTCTTCTAAATCTGCCAAGGGTTTGGACACAGTACCCTTCATGTACCCTGTGCAACGCTAAGCTGAATGGGATTTCACCTCCCTCGTTTTAGACGCTATACTCCTATTAATGTAGCCTGAGAGCCATCAGTGTGAACTGAGCAATCCACACACCAAATTCATGCCTCCTAGCTTCAGCCGGGCCCTCAAAGCCTCTTGGAACACCCCTGCTTTCCTCTCTGCCCTTGACCATTGAAGGTCCTCCGAACATCTTCTTTCTCCTCAAACCTCAAATCCCGAATGACTGCCTCATACGTCACCTTCTTTCATCCTCCCTCCTGGAGCTGAACCCACCTGCCCCTGGGTCTGGTTGGTTTCTTCTGCCTGGAGCACTTTTCAGCGCATATATCTCTTCCTCTGGGAAACCTCTCTAACCATCCCCTCCCTGTCCCCCAGGCAGGACGCCCCTTCTCTGTTCTCAGGGCACCTTCTCTCACCCTGATGGTGACAGTCTCCTAGTTATTGTCCCTATTGCCATGAGCTCCTTTGAAGGCAGACTTGTAGGTTCACCACTGGATCTTGCAACAAGAAGGATGCTGATGTACTCAGCTCAATAAACATTTTTTTCACTTGTAGCCCGCGCTTTTCTCGGCTATGCCTCCACCAGCCCTTCCTCCCTCCTTCCCTCCCTCCATGAATTCAGATCTGCCCTTCATAACACTCAGCTCAAGTTCACTCCCGTCACAGCATCCCTTCTGACAACTCTAGAAGACACCCATTCCGGGTCCCTCCGAATGCTCAAGGTACGGGTCTGTGGCGTGCTCATGCGGCCTCTCATTTTATTTTTTATGCTGTAACTATTTACATCTAGGTAAGTTCTTGTGGGTAGACAGAGATATTATAACTAGCAGTGAGTCCAGAAAATTTTGGATGCGCAAGTGGAAATGCAATAAGAGATTCTTACTGGAAACTTGTCTTAGTTTCCCGTTGCCGTTGGAACAAATGATCGCAAACCTGGTGCCTTAAAACAACATGAATTTATTATCTCATGTTTCTGGAGGCCGGACATCCAGAATCAGTCTCACTGGGCTGTTGTCGGGAAGTGGGCAGGGCTGGTTCCTTCCTCCCAGGCTGCAGGGGAAATCCATTCCCTTGCCCTTCCCGGCCTCTAGAGGGCGCCATCAGTCCTTGGCTCGTGGCCCCTTCCTTGCCTTACCCCAGCCTCTTGCTTCTGTTGCGACGTCGCCTCCTTTGACTCTCCTGCTTCCCTTTTATAAGGGCTTTTGTGATTACACCAATATTGGGGCCACCCCAATAATCCAGGACCATCTCCCCCTCTCAAGGCCTTTAGTTTGGTTGCATCCGCAGAGTGCCTGTTGCCATAAAAACACGCACAGGGTCTGGGGACTGCGGGGCCTGGCGACCTCGGGGGCACGGCCAGCCTACTGCAATGTCAGAAACAGCGGGTCAGGAAGCCGGGGTTCTTGGCTCGCTGCTGTTGTAATTCCGCCAGAAGAGCTGGAGGATTTCTTTCCTACGAGACAAAGACACCGTCATAAGGCTTCTCGGGGTGCATTTCTTATAAAGCTCCCGCACCCTGGTCCTGAAAAACCGGCCCACAAAGACGTAGATCACGGGGTTCAGGCAGCTGTTGATGAAAGCAAAGAAGTTGGCCCACTGCAGGCCCAGGTCGGTGAAATCCTCCCAGAAGCAGCCTCGGATGGCCCGCACCTGGAACAGAAACTCCAGGAAGGCAAAGAAGTGGTAGGGGGCCCAGCAGACCAGGAAGGCGGCCACGAGCGTGAGGATCAGCGCCGTGGTCTTGCCGTCCCCGGGGCCCCTGCAGCTTGTCCTCCTGACCTCCAGCCGCCGCCGCAGGGAGGCCAGGATGTGGAAGTTGAAGAAGACGATGGCGGCCAGCGGCAGGAGGAAGCCCAGCACGTTCAGCTCCACGATCCTCAGGTAGTGCCAGGCCTCGTGCGGGAGCAGCAGCACGCAGGCCGACACGTTCAGCTCCGGGACGGCCCTGACGGAGCGGAGCAGGAAGGTGGGCACGCTCAGCAGGCCCCCCAGGCCCCAGATGAGCGCGCAGGTGACCTGCGCCAGCCGCCGCCGCCGGTGCCGCCGGCTGGCCATGGGGTGCACCAGCGCGCAGTAGCGGTCCCGGCTCACGGCCACCACCAGGAAGATGCTGATGAACAGGTTGGCCTTGATCACCCCGCTGACGGCGCGGCAGAGCGCGGCCCCGAAAGGCCAGTTGAAGTGGTTCCAGATGTTGTGGGCCCAGAAGGGCAAGCCCAAGACGAAGACCAGGTCGGACGCGGCCAGGTTGGCCAGGTAGATCTCGGCCACGCTGAGCCGCCGCCGGGGCAGGAGGAGGACGGACAGGACGAAGAGGTTCCCCAGCAGGCCGCAGGCGCAGATGGCGGCGACGAAGGCGGGCAGCACCCTGTGCAGCAGGGCCCAGGCCTCCCCGGCATCGTCGCAGGACGTGGCGTTTGGAGGCACCGCCTGGCTCTGGTTGGAGGGCTGCAGCTCCAGGAGGGCCCGCGATGCCATCCACAGGGACCTGCAATGAACAGCAAGCGCGTGGCTAACACGGTTCTGGAAAATCAAGTGGCACCGACACCTGGCCGCACCCGCTCGTTTCCGCATTGTCCCCAGCTGCTTGTGTTCCAGCCGCGGAGCGGAGCGGCTGTGGCCGTGAGGCCTCTAGGGCTCAAAATATTTACCATCTGTTCCCGTAAGAGGAGAAGTTTGCCAAGTCCTGGTAGAAAGGAAAGGGCCAGGGCTTTGAAACCCAAGTCCAAATCCTGGCACAACCCTTGGTGTGGGTCACTTAGACCCACTGACTTTTCTTTTTAAAATCGGAGCTAATTGTATCCTGCTTGGCATGGTTGCTGGGCATAGAGGAAGCAATCAACAGAAGGTGGCAATTAGTCTTATTAACAACCACGTTATTAGTATTAACAGTCTAACAAGCATTTAATGAGCATTTACTTTCTGCTGGCACTTGGCCAGGTGCTAGAGACTCAGGAGACAGGACAGAGCAGCCCCCAGCCTGAAGGTGCTCACTGTCGGGAGAGATGCAGACATGCAGAGTCAATAACAATATAGCTGCTGAATAAATACATTAGAGGGGAGATGGGGAGGTGTGATCAGAGTCTAGATGTTTTTTGAAAGTAGCACCACCATGCTTTTCAATTGGCTATTGGTTGTGAGAGGTGGAGGAGGTTTGGAGTCTGAGTTCATCAACTGAAATGGAGATGACAGAGTGAGATGGAGAGATTTCTTTTTTGGGGGGTGGGATCAGGAATTCACTTTTGGACATGTCAGGGTTGAGATATCTGTTGGACATCTAGTGGGGAATCCAGTGGACAATCAGATACACAAGAGAGGTGGGTATTCAGAGACCAGCTCTGAGATAATGGTCCACAGGTGGGAACTGTCATCTCACGGATGCTATTTAAAGCCGCAGGACTTTAAAACCACCAAAAGATGGTTTAACAAAAATTTAAGTACTGAGCTTCTGTTTCTCAAAGCAGCTGGTGATGAAGGCGTAACTTGCACAAAATGTTGATGTTTGCGTCACTATGGGGGCTGGAAGGATGTCACTGACCACTAGAAAGTCTAAACACAAAGCTGCTACTTCAGAAATTAGTGATTTAAAAAATATATATATGTCTTTATCGATTTCAGAGAGAGGAAGGGGGAGGGAGAGAGAGAGAGAGAAAGATCTATGATGAGAGAGTCATTGATCCACTGCCTCCTGCACAGCCCCTCGGGATTGAGCCTGAAACCCAGGCAGGTGCCCTGCCCAGGAATCGAACCATGATCTCCTGGATCCTAGGTCGATGCTCAACCACTGAGCCATGCGGGCCGGGCAGAAATTAGTGATTTTGAAGGCACATGCCCCAAGAGGGACATTGACTGCACCCAGAGAGCGGCAGGAGATGCTGTTACAAGTCACCCCATGAAGCGTGACTTCTCACTTAGACCAAGAGACTGTTCTTTAAGGTAATTCAGCTCATTTTTGGTCCCAGCTCATCTCATGCACATATGACAAAGGAGATGCTGATCGAGTGCGTGTCAGCTCCATGAGAACGGCACAGACTGTGACACATGCCAGTTTGGTGTCAGAATCCTCAGAATCGGTCAATTCTAATTGTGACCCAACTCTTTCATGGGTTCATGGAATCAAAGCAAAATCTCAGAAGTTCATTCTGGCGAAGCCGAATGCGGGCTCTCTGTGAACGCTGGTCTCGAGTCGGTTAAAATTGTTCACACTGGAGGTCACGTTGCTGTATTTTGCGATGACAACACGCATGCACGCTTTGGAGGGCATGGTGTCACCGTCACGAGGCCGCTGCTGTTAAAATAAGAGGCTGACGAAACACAAATGGGTTTCGAACAGGTCACGCTGCACACGATTCGTAATTGCATACGAACAAGTTTCCACATCCTACCAACTGAAATGGAGGTTGCAGTTGACAAGAGCTGCAAAATTTTAAAGCATAGTACCGAACTGCAGACTTTTTGTGACGAAGTTGGCGAATTTGAAAAAAACCCACAACTTAAGCCTGTGTTTTCCTTCTCGGCTGCCCATCACCAATGTTAGGAGATGCTGAGTGTAAGTGCCCTAAAATGTTATAAAACTGTTTGTTAAACAGATCTCTAAATAGTTGCATTTTGTTCCAAATCAACTGGGAATCTTTAATCAAGATATTCAAAAATGTAGGACCAGATCATCAGCTTTGAAAGCTTTTAGCTGATTACAGTTAAACAAAGCTTTTATGTAGAAAATAAATTTTTTTCTCTTTCTGAAAGAGCAAGGGAGAAAATTATCAAATTAAATGAGACCTCAAATGACACACAAAATTTAATAAAATCCTGTAATAAAATCCTATAATGAACTTTGGAATATCTCCATTTGTAGGAAGAATTTTTTCAATGGGATAAACTCATACTCTACACAGGAAAGATGGAATTGAGACAGAGACAGCCTGATTTGTAGCATCTAAATTTGACGAAGCACTTAGAAATTATAAATAGCTATACTCGATTTGAAAAGTTTCACCTGGGAAATATACTTGCTGAAGAAAGAAACTCTGACCTAAGGCATAAAGGCCGCACCTGGGAACACACTTGGGCTGAAATATTTACATAATTCCACATGCAAAGAACTGGGCTTGAGGATTTCTTGTCAGAATCGGCCCAGAGCTTATCAGGTCCCTCAGCACCTTAATTAAATGTATTCTCGTTCAAGGAAAGAGTCAATGGAAGGTATTAGCTTAAACTTATTAACTGTAAAATTAGAAGAAAAAGACCTCAACAATTATATGGAACAATTAAAAATAATAAAATCGCATTGAAAGAAAAATATGTTCTCCAGGAAAATGCCAGCGACACGTCGGAGTCAGGCACGAGCCCAAGAAACAATCACAGCTCACGGCTGTGTACCGAGAGCAGTTACTTTGCTTACGTCATTTCTAATTGTTCAGTTAATTAACATAAAGGTTTTCTTTTTCTTTAATATATGCGGATATATATATGTTTTAGGTTTTTACTGAATTTTTTTTGTAGAGAGAGAGGAGGGGGAGAGAGAGAGAAATGTCTGTGAGCTAAACATCAATCAGCCGCCTCCTGCACGCCCCCTACTGGGAATCGAGCCCACAGCCCGGGCATGTGTCCTGACCGGGAATCGAACCGGCGACCTCTTGGTGCATGGGCCGACACTCCACCACCGAGCCACACGGGCGGGGCTGGATGTATATATTTTTAAAGACTTTTTTTTTTTTTGAAAAAAGTTTTTGACTAAAACTACTTTATAACTCTATTACTATAATATAACCAATGTGTTGGTGTGTATATATATAAATAGCTAAATACATAACATTATTGAAAATAGTTTTTGACTTGAACTACGTTACAACTCCATCAATATAATATAACCAACTTGTGCTTTACGACACCCAGTTTGTGGTCATCGGTGACGGCAGCCACAGGAAACAGACACCCAGCACACCTGACTCCTCAGATGCCCGGGGGCACCCCGCAGCGCCCTGGCCCGCACACAGGCCTGCGAGCCCCTTCCTGAGGCTGCCACTGGGCTGCACGCCTTCCCTTGCGGTGCCCTCCTCGGCAGGTGCGGGGAGGCTGCGGGGTGAGGCCCTGGGGCCCAGGCCTGACCCCTGACTCACCGGAGACGGATGTGCTGCGGGTCCAGGATCGAGCTGGGCTTTAGGTGAGGGATCCTGACAACACTCCTGGGAGGAGGCCTGGGTATCCTTATGCCCATTGCACCGATGAGCACACTGAGGAGAAGTGCCCAGGTTCGCCTGGCAACACGGGCCAGTGCGTTCGTATGCAGCTCTTTTTTCTGGCCCAGCACAGGGTCCAGGTGCTATTCATACATCATGCTGTGACTATAAGGAGAATGGGCCTGGGGTCAGGGAACCTGGGCTTCAGTCCTGGGCCACCAAACTGTGTGATGCTGGGCAGGGCAGGTACCTCTGAGCCTCAGTTTCCTCATCTGTAAAGTGGTAATAAGGGTGCGTATTGCAGGGTCACGGTGAGGCTGGAGCGAGATCACGCATGTAAACCCCCTGGTAGGTTGTGAAACATCAAACCCAAGGCTTTGAGGGTGATCCCACCACAGCAATAACGACGACAGCTATAGCACTAATAACAGTGACGGCAGAGGGTCCCGGTCCCTCTGAGGGAAGCAACCTCCCCTCCACGTGGTCTGCTCCTGACTATGGAACAGGCCAGGGATGACCCGGGACCCAGTGCACTAGGAAACTAAGACGCTGAATTCCAGAAGGCTGCCGGGCAGGCGGGGCTCAGCGGTTGAGCGTCGACCTAGATCCAGGAGATCGCGGTTCGATTCCCGGTCAGGGCACATGCCCGGGTTGTGGGCTCGATCCCCAGCGGGGGGCGTGCAGGAGGCAGCCGATCAGTGACTCTCATCATTGATGTTTCTCTCTCTCTCTCTCCCTCTCCCTTCCTCTCTCTGAAATCAATAAAGACATATTAAAAAAAAACACACACACAAAAAACCAGAAGGCTGGGTTCCAAGAGGGCCTGGTGCTTGGGGTTGTCATTTGCCTCCAGCCTTGGGGCTTTAAGCACCTGGAGTTTAAGAAGGGACCCCAAGAAAGGGGGGAGGATTCATGGGAGGCTGAGAGAGCCCAGGGACGTGGTCCCCTTTGCGCCTCTCCCTTTCCTTCTCCAGCTTTCCCTGAGCACGCAGGGAGGGTGTCCGTGTCCCCTCTGAAGCGGGGGTGCCTGGGCGGGAAAGGATGGCTCTCGGTGGGCAGTGGAGGGGGCCTGGCTCCTGAGTCTTCCTAAGAGACCCCAAGGCCAGTGAGAGGCAGGCTCTGCCCAGGCCCCACCAGGCCAAAGGGCGAGCTGGGGTGCGGGGCTGAAGGGTCGGCAGAATACCGGCCTCCGGAGATGTCGCCACCCGAGCCCCCGGCACCTGTGAACCTGTTGGTACCTTATGTGGCGGCAGGGACTTCGCAGATGTGATTAAGTTACGGATCTCGAGATGGGGAGTTGACTCTGTGTTATGGGGTGAGCCTAACGGAATCGAAAGTGGAAGTGATTTCGTTTTTCCGCATTAGAGGGGGGCGGGAGGGGCAGAGTGGGAGGCGCTGCGGTGCCTCGAAGGTGGAGGAAGGGGCCAGGAGCCAAGGAGCTCGGGCAGCCTCCCGAGGCTGGAGAAGGGAAGGGACGGGTTCTCCCTGAACCTTCCGGAAGGAGCACAGCCCTGTCAACGTCTTGACTTTCGCTCAGTGTGACTGATTTTGAACTTCTGCCCTCCAGAGCTGTCACGAACTGTGTGTCGTTTCAAGCCACTGAGTTTGTGCTAATTTGTTACGGCGGCAACAGGGGGCAAAGCTTCACCCTGCCCAGGAAATCGGGGACTGCGGCCTGAGCTCTGACCTCTGACCTCAGCTCCAGCCTGGTCGGTTCAACAGACACCGCCCTCCAGCCCGCGGGACCGGCTGTGTCCCCAGGCGCCCCAGCCACGGCGTCTGCTCCTACCAGCTGCCCTGCGTTTAATACAAAGTTGGCCAGAGAGGAGACATCTCCCTTCACTGGTTCTTAGTTCTAGCTCTCACATTTGCCTGGCACATAGTAGGTGTTCAGTAAACAGGAGCTATTGGTCTTATTAGTAATATTTGATCCTATTTGAAAAACTCCGAGGTGACACTGGGCAAGCCTACTGGAGATGACGCGTGTAATCTCTATGTGGTATTTTCCGAGTTCTGCACATTTTTAACATTGGCATGTGGCGCTCAGGGGGCAGCAGGACTTTCTTCAACAAATTAGCCCTTTTCAAATTAATTCCAGTGTCAACAGTGAGGCGATGATAAAGGCATTATAGATATTAAGGGATAGCGACCTGGTCCCATAATAACACGCCACTTTCAAGCAACAAATAACCCAGCCAGTGTTGGCCTTGTGAAATATTGTAAGCGATCCTGGGGAGACCAGTCTGATTTTGATAAATCAGGATTTGTAGGTGGTAACTGGCCAGCGTCCACGCGGGGCTCTGAGGGCTGTGTTCAGGCCCCATGCCCATGACCTGGACAGAAAGAGCCTTTGGAACCTCCACGCCTGTTCCAAAGCTCTCCTTCCCCCGACTCCTGGCAAAGCATCTAAAACCCAAAATAAGCACGGAATACAAGTGTCTTAAATTGATTTAGAATTATGTTTGTTTTGGTTTTTTGTTTTTTTTTAAAAAAAATATACACTTACAGAAAGCTAAAAATTCTGCCAATATTTAGTTGCAAAAGGAGGATTTTTTTCTCTCTCTAAGAGACACGGGTCTCCTCTTACATTTTACTCTTGTAAGAGAAAAGAAAGATGGTCATTTACTTACTTGGGAAGAAATGAAAGCTCTCCCGACCTCGGCTGGGTTTTCTGGTGGCGGCAGCGGCCCTCGGAGGTGTTTTCTGTTCTGGGAAGCGCTTGGAGATGGGGTGGCCTTTCTTACATAACCTCTGCTCCAGTGATGTCATGGGAGGGATGGCTGAAAAGTGAGTCTTCCGGACGGGGGAGCAAGCTGTGGTTTTGTAAGAAAAACTGCTTTGCGCTTTGGGGCGAGAGATGATTCAGTGGCCATCTCCCTCCTCACCTCGCTGACATCCTGGGGGGGCCGGCACGATCCGGCCCCAGAAAGGCACATTGGCCAGTGTGCTCTCAGAGCACATTTTGGCACAGGGAATATAGTCAATGATATTGTAATAACCATGTATGGTGTTAGCTGGGTGCTACACTACTCGGGGTGATCGCTTGGTCAGGCAGATAAATGTCTAATCCCTACATTGTACACCTGTACCACTGTGTGCCAATTGTAACTGAAAAACAAAGTTTTAAAACTTTACAAAAAAATTTAAAAAGGCAAAAAAAAGAAAACAAACCCAAACCACACCATACGCTGGCACCTCTGAGAGCCTCAGGCATCTGCAGATGCCTAGTGATGGCTTCGCCCCGAGAGCCTGGGGCTCTGCAGCAGCTTCCATGGGAGCTGACTCGAGTGTCCCCGTTTGGATTTTGGTCATGAGGGATCTGTGGCCAGGAATCCATCAGTGCCGACCCCGTTAAACAAACGGGGAGCCAGGACAAGGCTGACTCACGCCCTGGCCTGGGTTGAGCGAGATCAGAGGCACTTTCTCCCTAAGCCTCCCTGGCAGCTCTGCGGTCCACTCCCGAGCTGGGTCTGCGTCCGTCAAGCTGAACCACGCAAGGCCTCGTGTCCAGACAGTGGGAAATTTCTGGCTCTCCTGGGGAGTCAGACCTCAGATCCTTCAACGGAACCCACTTGCCTTCTGTCTTTGCTCCTAAAGAGTACACACAGGACAAATCCACACCAGGGATTCCGGAGAGGTGGTGCCCCAAATCTCAGCCCCCAGCCCCCACTCCTGCACCCTGGGCCCCCCTGCACCCTGGCCCTGCCTCGTGGAAGCTCGATTTGCACCTGTTGGTGTCACCACGAACCTAACCTGTCTGGAGCAGAACATGTCCCTTTGTCCTCAGACTCTGGCCTTCTCAGGGTATTTCCCTTCTCTGACCCCTCAGTGCAGACAAATTGTACTTTTGGATTTGCTAGCAGTTTTCTCTTGTGTCTGGACATCATAAAATTGTGGAAGAAGCCTGGAGAGTATTATGCTAAGCGAAATAAGCCAGTCAGAGAAAAACAAGTATCACACAATCTCACTTATCTGTGGAACCTAATGAACAAAATAAACTGAGAAACAAAACAGATCCAGAGGTACAGAAGCATGGATCAGGCTGAGGGATCTCAGAGGGAAGGGGGTGGGTGGTGGGAAGAGATCAGCCAGAGAACCTGTATGTACAAAGGCACTGCCCGTGGGCACAGACCATAGTGTGGGGCAGGCCTTGGGGGGCGGGCAGGGTGGAGAGGGATCAGTGGGGGGAACGGGAGGGCGCCTGTAATACTCTCAACAATAAAGATGAATTAAAAAAATATTGTGGAAGCGGGAAAGCAAGAACCCCTCAAGGATCAGTAGCAGATGTGTGACTTACAGAGGAAACTAGACTTTAACTGTGGAAGGTCCCTTCAAGTTCAGGAGAGAGCTGGGCCTTTTGTGGTCACGCAAAGGTTAGGCGATGGCCTGCCATCCTTTTGGGTAGATTTTAACCAGAGAGAGGTTCCGAATCCCAGGATTTCCTCATCAGCGCTGCAGATTGGGGTCTTGCCAGGGGTTGGCTTCCCTCCCTTCGATGTGAATTTACACCAGACAGTTTCTGGGAAGCGCTGCTCTTCGGTGGTGTCTTCCAGCCCCAGCTCGGGTTCACTTGCAGAGACCAGGAGACAGGCTCTGCGGGGACACGGGTGGGGGGTGGGGATGGGGAGTGAGGGGGGCTGTCCCTCTCTCTCCAGGAGGACAGCCTGTGAGGAGCATCGGACTGCCCCAGGCAGGGTCCCATGGGCGGGACGGTTGCTGCCCCCGGGGCCACTCATGAGGGCTGAGTAGGCCGGCCTTGGGGAAGTGACTCTGTGGCAACTGTGCCCAGGCCATGCGTGCCCCGCCCGTGGGTGGAATGGAAAGTAACCGAGATGAGTAAGTGCATGGGTGCTCTCACTGTTGCTCACGGGGATGGGAAATGGGAAGCAGACCTTGGTCAGGGGGGCCTGGGAGCCTGCATCCTGGGGACTGAGGGCTGGGTGAGGGAACCCCGAGTCCGTAAGAGACAACAGCTCCCTATAATGTGGAGAAGATGGGAGGAGGCCGAGAGCGATCGAAGTCCCCTGGGCCCTGGGGACTTGGGTAGAGTGTGTGAGGAGGACACTGTAGCCCGGAGACGGCCCCTAAGGCACGAAGGGGTGACTGGGGGGGACCCAGGGCTACCAGCTTGGCCCACTGGGGGGGAGGCCTACCTTCCCTGGGATTGTTCTTAGTGCTGAAGCAGGGGGACTCAGGCAGCCTGGATTCCCCAGGTACAGCTGGCCTTGGACCAAGCTCCATGCATGTTCAAGGGAAGGTGAGCTGGAGTTTGAAGGACTTGGGGACACAAAGATCACAGTCCCCATGGTGACATACAGGGTCACTTTTCATTCCTCCAGCTGCTAAGCCTGCAGTCAGTCTCCTCCCCTTTCTAGTCACATCTGGCAAGTTCTTCACAATGACAGACTCCAGCATAATCCATTCAGCGCATCCTGCAAGGAGCACCCGCGTGCTGAGTGTCCTCAAGTTTGTCACTAGTCCTTCCGGCAAGCGATGTCCCTGTGACTGTCTCCACTTGCTGCTGAAGGAAAGAGGAGCCCCGTGGGCCGTTTCTCTCCAGGGAGAAGGCAACGGTCTAGCGTTGGTCCCGCCAGTGCCCTTTCACCTCTGCTCGCCCCCTCCTTGCCCTCAGGTTCTGGGCTCTCACTCGGCGAGCACGTCTGCAACAGGGGGCTCCAGCCCATCTCCTTGCTTCCTGACATTTCCCTTCGGTCCCTCCTTGTGCTAGATGAATATTCCAGAAGCACCTGGATGTTGTGCCTTCACAGGACAATGGCTCATTCCTTGGAATTGAGACTCATCCATGGCGCTGCTGTGAGGCCAGGAGCCACCTTCAACCCTGGGTCTCTGCTCCAGCTGAGAGGGTGGCTCATGGGTGCTGAGGCCCCAGGCTGGCCACCCTAAGAGTGTTTGCTGGAAATGACCGTCCCACTCCTCTCCGACCTCCCTGCTCCTCTCCACCACATAACCCCCCCCCCGACCACGCAAGTCGCACTGTGACCCTCTGCTCCCCTCTGTGAGCCCAGGTCCGAGCGCTCGTTCCTCTGCTCTGCAGACCCGGAGGGAGCACCCTCGCGGGGCCTGGTGAGGGCTGGGTGCCCGGAGCAGAGAAGGCCCAGAGCCCACCCTGGGGCTGCTCATGCTGTGGTGACGGGGCAGGTGGGCCAGCAAACGTCTTCGGCCAAGCGTGCAAATGCCACTGTGAAGAGCAGGCACAAAGGGGGCAGGGACGGCGAGGGCATCAGTAAGGTGCCAGGGTGTGAGGGGGTAAAAATAAAACCCTAAGTGTAGATGTCACAAAGCCCCAACTCCTGCAGTCTACAGGGGGACAGAGGCCGGCCTGAGCGTGTCCCGGGCATTCAGGCCGCGGCGGCGCTGTCCTGCTGTGTCGACGGCCATTTACGAAGAGAAGGGCTCTGGGTGCTGGGCCAGGGCTCCCACGTCAAACTCGCTGTCCCCGTGCTTTGGAAGACAAAGGCTTTCCACCTGGGCAGGGGGCTCACCAGACGCTCCCCTTACAACAGTCATGAGCTAACAGAGCTCAGGGCCAGTGCGGCCGTGCCCCTGAAGGCCGTTGGTCGGGTGCAGGAAAGAGGAACAGTGTCAGCCCGAAGCAAGGCCTTTCTGAGAGCTCAGGTGCAGGGAGCGCAGCTGGCCTGCCCACGAGACACTCCCAGAGGGAGCTGGGGGCCAGCGGTCCTGGGACTGCTCTGACCCTGGTGCCTTCACCTGGGAACTCGCTCTGCCCGCTTGGAGAGCTGTTGAGAAGACCAAGTAAGTGCATGGAAAACGTCGTCAGGTTACGCAGATGTTCTCAGGGTAAGATGAGAGTGTGTGTGTCGACGCAGCTTTTCCCAGTTTTATGGCCTTCCTGAGGGTAATCGGGCGGGAAGTGACCCTGCAGAAAACCTCATGCCATGTTTCAGCTTCGAGGCCTCATGGGTGCATGTGTACAGCAAAAAAAGTGAAATTAAGTTAAAAAATGGAGGTATGGCCCGGCCGCTGTGGCTCAGCGGTTGAGCATCGACCTAGGATCCAGGAGATCGCGGTTCGATTCCCAGTCAGGGCACATGCCCAGGTTGCAGGCTCGATCCCCGGTCGGGGGCGTGCAGGAGGCAGCCGATCAATGACTCTCTCATCATTGTTGTTTCTCTCTTACTCTCCCTCTCTCTCTCTGAAATCAAAAAAGACATATTTTTTAAAAATGGAGGTAAGGACTAAGGTTCGTTCTCCTTAGAATCCGGTAGTTCACAGATGGCCTGCTGCCGTGAGTGTTCTCTCGAACATGTCACGTTTCCCCTCCGTCTGGAGTCCTTTCATGAGCCGCAAAACTCTGGGTGCAGGTCAGCTGAAAATGCTGAGGATGGTGTTCACATTTTCTTGAAGACTCCAGAGCAAGAATCCGATGGTCTGGTCTGGAGGCCGCGGTGGGCAGGTCTGGGCTGAAGAGGCATCTCTCCAGGGTTTAAATCCCAGCTCCATCGTGGGTGAGCTGGGTGAACTTGAGCCGTTTTCTGTACCACCTTGTGGGGCCTCGGCTCCCTTGTCTTCTTAGAGCTGGGGATCACATGAGACGATGGGGAGGTGGCTGGCCCCGGGTCAGCAGCCGGCAGTAGCTGCTCTGCTTTCACCACTTTGCTGTTGCACAAGACAGTGGTGGGCTCAGCATGGGACGCGAGGTGCAGCCGTCCTCGGTCTGGGCCGGGACTGGAGGGAGGAAACAGGCGACATCGCTGGCCCGCGGAGTGGGCCGTGCAAGTGACTCAGCGTGGAGGGAGGCGTCCGGAGGAGCCTCGGAGCCCTGCCTTGGGCCATCTCTCAGGGTGGTCTATAAACAACTTTCCCACACAGTGGGCTCGGTGGCTGGGCTGTCTGGAAGCCAGGAGCTGGGCCCTGCCGCCTCTTCTGAACCTTGCCTGAGACTCCGGGAATCTGCCTGACTCTGGGGCCTGGGGAAGGAAGAGGGGAGCAGGGCAGCCCGGCCTGGAGTCAGTAGAGGGGGTGCATTTAAACCCAGCCCCATCAGCCTGTGGTGCACATACCCTGGGGGCCTGGTGGGCCCCTAACATGCTACGCAGCTTTGGGAAAGGCCTTAGTATCCTCCTGAAAAAACCCTCTAAGACTCTGGAAGATGGCATATTCCATTCTTTCTTATGAGGTCTGTCCCCCCCTGGCATCTGTGGCCGCCAGGAGACCTGGAGAGAGCACAGAATCCCTCTTCCATTGCTGGGGGAAGGTAACCTCAAAGGGGAGTGTGCACTTGAAACTAGTAAAACACTCGTGTTGGTTTCAAAGGACCACCGATGGGGCGGCTTGACACCACAGACATTCTCCCCTAGTTCAGAAGGCCAGAAGTCCAAAATCAAGGTGCTGGCAGGTTGGTTCCTCTTAGCAGCCCTGAGGGAGACTCTGTTCCATGCCTCTCTTCCAGCTTCTGGTGGCTCCAGGCAATCCCTAGTGCCCCTTGGCTTCTAGGAGCATCACTCCAGTCTCTGCTCCTGTGTCTCTGTGCACCCTCCCCTTTTCTAATAAGGGCCTCAGTCATTGGAATTGCGACCCACCTCGGTCTAGTATGGCCTCATCTTAAGTACTTCTGCAAAGGCCTTATTCCCAAGTAAGGTCACATCCTGAGGTCCCACGTGGGTGTGAATTTGGGAAGAAGGAAACAGTATTCAACCCATGAGAACACCTTTATCTCACTTTATCTTCATAACACCTGGATCCTCATTTTATAGGCAAAAACACCAGGAGCTGAGAGAAGTTAACTAATTTTGTCCAAATCCCCATAGCTGGGGTGAGAAACTGAAGCTTGGCTCCCAGCCCAGGGAAGCCCAGTCATGTTGGTGTTGCCCTGAGAGTTTACAAAGCCCCCTCTCCAGAGCCATTAGCTCTGGGTAAGATAGGCCTACTTATTGCCCATTTTACAGATGTGGAAACTGAGGCCAAAGGCCAGGGATGGAGAGGAATGAACCAGTGGTTGGCCAAGATCACATAGTGAGTAAGCAGCATGGGAGGGACTCAAGGCCTGGCCTCCAGAGTTCCTCCTCTACAATTAAATATTGCATCTGAATGTCAGCTGGATGAAAGAAGCCAGACACAAAAAGGCATGGATTGTAGGATTCCATCTACATGAAATGTCCAGAACAGGCAAATCTAGAGACAGAAGAGGGGGTGGGGAGGGAGGAATGAAAGTGACTGCTGACGGCTGTGGGATTTCATGGGGGTGATGGATGTGTCCTGGAACTAGATAGCTGTGGTGGCTGCACAGCTCTGAATATCCTTAAAGCCACCGGGATGGGGAAATTCACAGCTTGTGACTTCTATCTCCTTACAGCAGCTTTATAAATCCCAGTGTGAGGTGAACCACAGCCTCTGGGGAGGGAGCTCTGCAGGGAGCGAGCGCTCACAGGCCCAGAAGATGCCAAGTCTGTTTGCTGGGGTAGAAGCAGCCCGAGCCCAGGCTCGGAAGCTCTTCTTGTAGGAAGCCACCTTGAGCGCTCTCTCAGTGACAGGATTTGCATCCCTCTGATTAGGCAAAACCTCATGGAGACCGGGAGGGCTTCCAGGCACCCTCTGCCTTGGCTACTTCCCTCTCTGGGCCTCAGTTTCCACCTGAGGGGGTGTGAGGGTTAAGTCTGAGAGTTCAGCAGAAGGTGAGGTTTTCTCATGGGGCCCCTTTAACCTCAGCTCAAACCACAAACAAACCATTAACTTTTCAATCACCAGCTCTTGCTCAACCATGACCTCCTTGCTCATCCCTGACACCCACATCCCCCCCCTCCCGGGGGTGGCAAGAGGTCAGAGCTGTGTGAGCCTCTGCAGCAGGTTCAGGGATTGAGTAACAGGAGATAGTGAAGCTCACTGCTAGGGTGACACACAGAGGCTTCATCTCCCGAATCATAGAGACTGCGCCCAGGTGGCTTCATAAATAGATGGCTCATAAATCAACGGTAGCCATCGTCACTTGCTAGCTCCCATTGGGTCACCTGTATTCAGTTTACACCTCTGAGCCAGGTCCTTACCAGCTCCCGCCAGGGCAGGCTGGGCCCAGTTCTCGGTTCCGAGTCCACCACAGGCCCACCTTGGGCTTTGCCTCATCTCACAAGCTTGCTGGAGCCAAAGAGGGTCAGGAGTCGAGGGGCCGTGAATGTCGCCTGACTAGGATGGCGGGAGGTGGGACGGAAGCTCTCCCAGCCTGTTTCTACCTGCAGACAGCCCTGCTCAGATTTCCAGCCGGTGGCTTCCCTCTGGACTGCAGACTTCTTGAGTTATGCTCCTGCCTGTGAACAAAGTCCCTTGGGTGAGTGAGCTCCCTGGGGCACTTGTGGGCAACTTTTTCCAAGCCCAAGGCCATTGGTGATGGGTGCAGGCTGGTGGGAAGTGAGGGCACCAGGAAGGGGTTGGATTCTCTGCTGGACTCTGTCCAGGCATCGGTGTCCAACGTGGCTGGAGGGTAGAGAAAGAGCTTGGACGTAGAGAAGGGGAAAGACACCGGCAGGGCTCAGCTCATGACGGCTCTTGCAAGCCACGTTATGGATGTGGGACTTATCTCAAGCGTAGTGGAACACTACCGAAGGGTTTTCTGTTAGAGGGTGCCATTGTCACCCTCACCAACAGCATCACCACCGCCATCACACATCACCATCATCATCACCATCATATCATCACCACCATCACCATCACCATCACCATCATATCATCACCACCATCACCATCACCATCACCATCATCACCATCACATCACATCACCATCATCATCGTCACCATCATTGCCATTGTGACAGCTCTACCAGGCACTGTGTCAAACACTGTCATACGCTAATTCTGTTAGCAGCTCTTTGAGGGAGATGCCATCATTATCACCCCAGTTACCCCCGAGATGTAAATGTCGACTCAGAAAGGATGAGTGGGATACCCAGGGCCACACAGCAAGGAAGAGCCCGAGCCAGAACCAGAACGGGAATCCAGGTCTGCCCGGCCCCAAGGCCTTAGCTCCCAAACACCGTCTTTTTATGTTTAAAGCCTCTATGGTAGTATTTGCTTTCTTTAATGACATCACTGGCTGCAGAGGAGAGACTAAGGGTTGGGAGATGGTGGCGGCTCTTGTCGGAGATGAGGAGACCAGTAAGAGATGATGGTTAGACACAGAAAAAGAAGATGATTCAGGAAACAGGTGGAATATCAGAGCTGCTGGTCTATTGGGTGGAAGGGACGAAGGAGGGGGTGCATTTGCCCAGGAGCCCTAGGTTTCTGGCACCGATGGATGGATGGATGTGTCAATGGGGCAGTGCCATTGCTGTAGACACAGAATGCAAGTTTCGCTTAATGAATGAGTGAATGAGTGAATGAGTGAATGAGTGAATACTTGAATAAGAAAGGGGCCCCCAAATAGAATAGATGGTGAGTTCCCCACCACTGGGAGTAAGCAAGTCATGGCTTGACAACTACTTCATCTGGACATTGTAGGGGACCCTCCTGATGTGACAGGGAGGTCAAATGAAAGGCACTCAGTGAATACATATTACACTCGTGAATGATGGAGTCACTGCCATCTCTGTGACTCTAGGGCCTCGTGGGGCCTCAGGGGCACCTGGGGGGAGCTTGGTAATGAGTGACCAGTGCAGGAATGTAGGATGGGGGAAATCCTATTAAATTTTCTTAAATTTCTACTTGAGTGTATTTTAGAGTGTACATGGTAATACGCATTAATAAGTATACATATTGGGTATATGTAATAAAAGCTCTTTTACTTACAAGGATACACTACCACAGAAGCTTGGACACCATCCACCTATGGGACAGGCTCCCTAAAGTAGGCTCAGCAGAAATGAATGGACACCCCCAAGGCTTCTGACTCCCGTGTCCCTGAGGAAGCGCAGGGTGCCGGCCGTTGTAGCGGAAGAAAGAGCTGTGCAAAAACTCGTAAGTTTATGATGCTGTACAGAAAACACACACGGTGACACCGCCCACCCCTCTCTCACCCCGTGCGAAATGCTCCCTCTTTACAAAGCTACTGCGCGGGGGAGCTTTCAGGGGACAGATGTTCTTTGTCGAGGTGTCAGCACGGCCCTCAGGGCGGCCCCCCTCCCGCCCCACACGTGGTCTCCAGTGACCATCAGGAGGCGGCGCTGTGATGTGGCTCTGCTCCTCGGGGACCCTTAGGTGACCACAGGTCCACTGACACGTGAGGGCCACCAGGGCGAGGCGCAGTCTCCTTTTCTCACTCACAGTACGTGCGAGTTTAGCTTCATTCCAACACCGAATGGTGGCTCCTTCTTGCCCCCGTTTCGTCTTTCCAGCTGCAAGTGGGTGTGTGCCCCGGGGCAGGGGGCTGTGGCTGGCGGGGGGAAAGCTGGGATGGGGAGGGAACCCTTCCCGTTTTAAAGTCTGGAGCTGGGTCGGCCAGGATCTGTGGGCTCTTGGCCGCAGACCCCGCTGGCCCTCCAGGTTCTGCCTTCCCCAGACCCCGCTCTGTGTGCGTGATAACACCTCACAGTTTCATAGCACCGTTGGTTCTTCAAAGTCCTTCTATGCTGGTTCCCTCCTTTAACCCTCACAACCTGAGGTCACAGAGGAGGAAACTGAGGCAGGAACACGGCGACGTGGAACTGGCTGTCGGGGAGCTGGGGCGCAGGCTCCTCACCCCTCTGCTGGGCGCCGCCCGCGGGCTCTGGGTGACCACGTCGTAGGACAGCCTGCCGGTGGCCGAGTGCTCAGCGGTCCCCGCGCGAGCTTGCGGGTCCCTGCAGGACAGAGGCTGCTTTCTCTCTCCTCCCTGTCGTCCGCAGTGCTCAACGCTGCGCATACAGCAGGTGCTGGGTTGGGTTCTTCTTGGGCACCTGCCACCTTGTCCATTGGCTAAGGGAGTGACAGAATCCTGATCCCCAGGGCCTTACCAGGGCCCTCAGAGGTTCACCTTCATCCATCTGAGAAATCATCCTCCGCAGCCCTAGCCGAGCGGGTTAAAGAGACTCGGCAAAAGCTCAGCCAGACTCGGCGAGCTGCGGTGGTGGCTCTTCCGGATCCAAGCTGTCACGCTGGGGCAGGGGGACGCCAGGTGGGAGGACAGCTCAGTCACCCCTGTCCCTGCTCCCAGGTCCCCTCCACTGCTGGGAAGGAGCCGACTGGCCCAGGGGTGGGAGCCAATAAGAATGCTACTAATGCTGTCATGTCCATGGAGCTCTTGGGGGTGCACGGGGTCACCCCAGACTCACAGCTGTGCTCACTGCAACCCGGGGCAGGGCCGGAATCACGCTCCTGCGTCCCCTGCAGGCGCCGACCCGTTGACCAAGGTCACGCGAGGGATGACGGCCATTCCTAGGTGGGCACATCGCGGGGAGCACCCGTCCACGAACCTCACACACATTCACAGTGGCCCCCGCCGCGCCCCCTCACTGGCTGGTCCCCGCCCCGCCCAGCTTGTGGATCTGCCGGTCCACGGAGATGGAGGTGCGCAGCGTGCCCATGGAGTTCTCCACCGGGCTGGGCCGCGCCACGCAGCCCCCCTTCTGGCACAGTCGCTGGTACACCTCCCGGGACTTCTTGCGGAAGCGCTTGCCCACGACGGCGTACACCAGCGGGTTGAGGCAGCTGTTGCTGTAGGCCACGTAGGTGGCGATCTGCGTGAACACGTCCACGACGTGCTCGTCCCAGCAGCCGGACAGGACCCCCAGGCGCAGGAGCGTGTCCAGGAAGGTGCTGACCTGGAAGGGCAGCCAGCACACGATGAACAGCAGCAGCACGGCCAGGACCAGCACCGTGGCCTTCCTCTCCGTCTGCATCTCCTTGAACTTCTGCATCTCGTTGTTGCGCAGCGCCTGCATGATCTGCACGGTGCAGAAGGTGATGACGCTCAGGGGCAGGAGGAAGCCCACGAGGTTCAGGAGCATGTTGGTGAACACCTCCCAGACGCGGGACGGGTAGGTGATGACGCAGGCCGTGACGTTGTAGCCCTCGTCCCTGTAGTTCTTCATGGTCCGGAAGGCCAGCATGGGCGAGCTCAGGAGCAGGGCGCACCCCCAGATCACCAGGCTGTAGAGCTTGGCCCAGCGCACGCCGCGCGTCCGGCCCACGGACATGGTTTTCACCAGGGCCAGGTAGCGGTCGATGCTCACGAGCATGAGGAAGCAGATGCTGCTGTACAGGTTCATGTAGGTCATGGTGTTCACCATGCGGCACAGGGCCTCCCCGAAGAGCCAGTCGAAGTTGTTGGCAATGGTGACGGCCCAGAAGGGCAGCCCGCAGGCCAGGATCAGGTCGGCCAGGGCCAGGTTGCCCAGGTAGATCTCGGCCACCGTGCACCTGCTCTTGTGCAGGCAGAAGACGCTGAGGACAAAGGTGTTCTCGAGCACCGTCAGCACGAACAGCACCCAGAGGAAGGGGGCCTGGATGGTGTTGAGCCAGCCCCACAGCTCGGAGGAGAAGCAGCTGCTGCCCTGCGAGGATGTCTCGTTGAGGGAAGGCGGGTGGACCTGGGAGGTGCTGTTGAGCATTTCAGCGCTGAAAGAAAAGTAGAAGAGAGGCTGTTACACCTCAGGGTCGCAGGAGGAAGGAGAAGCGACGGATGCAGAAGGGGAGGGGCGGTCAGCGGTCAGCGAGCAGCTCCCGGAGGGCGAAGTCAGGGCGTGCTCGGGCCCTTCTGCTTCGGCTGCGCTCCCAGACGCTGTGCGGCACATCTGACTCCCCGNTGTTGAGCCAGCCCCACAGCTCGGAGGAGAAGCAGCTGCTGCCCTGCGAGGATGTCTCGTTGAGGGAAGGCGGGTGGACCTGGGAGGTGCTGTTGAGCATTTCAGCGCTGAAAGAAAAGTAGAAGAGAGGCTGTTACACCTCAGGGTCGCAGGAGGAAGGAGAAGCGACGGATGCAGAAGGGGAGGGGCGGTCAGCGGTCAGCGAGCAGCTCCCGGAGGGCGAAGTCAGGGCGCTCTCGGGCCCTTCTGCTTCGGCTGCGCTCCCAGACGCGGTGCGGCACATCTGACTCCCCAGGGCCTCAGGTGGGCGCCTCTGCTCCTTGGGCCTAAGCGGACAGCTCCCGTTCCTCGTCTCGTGGCTCCACCGGGATGTTTCCTCGGCCAGCATCCATCACCGGCTCTACTGAACACGAGTCTCGGACTCTGGACCTCCTGGAAGCTTCCAGGATGGGAGGAGGCTCGGCACATTCCTTCCTTATCGCAGGGGCCCTTCCCAGGGAGGCTGGTCATCCGTCCGCCTCTCCTGGCCTGGCCATAGGCAATTCATTTATTAGAACAGAAAAACAATATCGTGCCAGACAGGGAGATTCCAGCCTGACTCAGAGACCGTGGCCCATCTGCCCAGGCCCTTTCTCCTTCCGGCAGAAGGTGGCACTGGGTCACTGTACCCTCCAGCAGCAAAGCGTTGGTGGGGATCAGAGGTTACGTAATGAAGAGGGAAAGCAGGGGTTTTGGAGCCCGACCGTCCTTCTGGGTTCAACTCCTGGCTCATTCGTTAGCTGTGTGACCTTGGGTAAGTTAATTAACCTCTCTGAACCTCAGTGATCCACCTTGTAAAAGGAATAAGAAAATCTACCACTCAGGGTTGTGGCGAGGAGCTAAGACAATGTGCAGAAAGCCCCAAGCACTGCACTCGGTTCAACAAACATCAACCATTATCTTTTTTGTGAGCCTATTAAACTCTTATTATGCGTTTTTTATGAGCAGTATTAAACTCCATCCAGCACCACGGTGAGCAGGTTCTTGCCCCCATATTGATGCTTCCTCAGGAACCCACAGCTCCCTTTTCACTCTTGGGTAAGACTCAGACCACGAGGCCGTTCACTTTCTAGAAGGGTTGCTGTTGAGGCTGACTCATCTCTACCTTCAGCAAGATGGCCTGGGTGTGCTGAAAAAAGACATGGGTCCCAACCCTAGCTGTGTGGTCTTGGGCAGATCGCATGACCTTTCTGAGCTTCTATTTTGTTTTGTTTTTTGTCTTGTGCGGCTCTTGCAAGATCCGAATGAAAGAGTGGGTATGAAGACACGACCCAGAGGGCAGGACTAATCGGGCACTGCCCTAGTGCCCCGTGGGGGAGGGGGGAGGGGAGGAAGGTGGAGGTCCAAGGGCTTTTCCTGGGCTGTGGACTGTTGGACAGGCTCAGCGGGAAGGGACTGAGCAACAAGTAGCGGGAAAGAGCTTGCTGATTGCCTCTGGGATTTCCCAGGAAAAGCCCCTCGTTTCCTGGAGCGGCTGGCTGCCAGGCCCTGAGGGGCCCGACTGGAGACCTGGGACCGACATTCCTCGCACATCCATCCTCTGAATGAGTCTGGGGTGTCTTCTCTGGGCTAAGCCCCACCCTGGCTGTAGGGACCCAGAGGGGATACCAGTATCCCCGGCCCTGCCCATGGCCCAGCGTCTGATGAGTGCCAAGGGGTTGGACGAGGGGCACAGGACACAGCACTGGGGGAGGGGAGAAGGTCGGAGGTGACTCTGGAGCTGGGTCTCCAGGGATGAAGGGACAAGGAGGAGAGAGGACAGGCCAGGCAGAGGCGCAGGGCCTGTCTGGAGGGGGGACCAGGTGTCAGAGGCGGGCAGGGGCAGGAGATGGGCTGCATAGGGAATGTGGGTCATCTCCGGGCCCTGAGAGAGAGGCTTTGCCCGGAGGGCTCAAGAAGCGAGGGATGGGGCAGGAAATACTCTCCGGAAAGATTCTTCTGGTGGTTTTCACATGTCCAAGAACTTGTTGACTGCCTCCCTTCCAAAGGTGGAGTCTAATTCCTCTGTCAGTGAGTGTAGAGGACTCGGTGACTTGCTTACCAGCCTCGGTGGTGGAAGCAGCAACAGTGTGTGACGCCCAAGACTAGGTCCTAAAATGCACTGCAGCTTCCTCCTCAGAGCCGGGTGCCCACCCTGGGGCTCCAGCCACCATGCTGTCCTCACACAGCCTCATGGAGGGGAACCAGCTTGCCACTGGGGAGATTCGGCTTCCCCAGCCATTGAGTCTTCCAGCTGAGGCCCCAGACATCATGGAGCAGGGACAACCCACCCCCCTGGGCCTTAAATTCCTGACCTGTGCAAACAGACAGGCTTCTCTGCAGAGCCCTCTGCAGGTGAGACCTTCCGGACAGTCCCCTTGGTCCAGCCTCTGGTCCCATCTCTGCAGCTACAGAAACCCGTTTCCTCAGTGCTCCAAGCCCAGGGAGTGGTCTCTCATGGTCTAGCTCTCCAGGGACTGATCACTCCAGAGGCTACCTGTTAACTTTCCAGCAAGACACTCCTTAGCCAACGGCATGGCCCCTGGCCGACAGCTGGCCCTGAGGATCCACAGGATGGCCAGAATAGCCACCCGATCATCCCCTTCGTAGGCCACACCCACCGCGGGAGGGAGAGGCCAGGCTGGGCCCCTCACCCCTTTGTCTTGGCAACATTGCCCCCCTTAGGACTGACTCTCCCTTTTCCCTGCTCCTAATGTACTTGAGACAAATTTCCCGCACATTCTCTCTTTCGCGTGTTCTGGCCTTCCACCAGATGCCAGCCATGTGCTGGCGACACCCTGTCTCCACGGCGACCCAACACATCTCCGTGTGACTTCTTGGGTGTTGACTTCAGAATTTCACTGTCTTCATGTCCAAGTTCATCCAGGAGAGCTCAGGTATGACCGCCAGAAACGTCTTCTCTTCCTGCACACCCCCTCCCCAAACGCCACAGAACCACCCACTGTCTCCGCCCCAACAGGTCCGCCAGGATTTGAACACTGGCCTCGTCAGCCCTTGGGAGGTGTTGTCTTTGGACTGAACACTGTCTGTTGCTTCAACTGTTAAATGAGATGAGAGATGCACGGTCCTGGCGTTCTCCAGGCTGTAGCCCCCCCCCC